TGTTCAACAGCTTGGCTCGCGTTCATCCAGCCTAACTTTAGACACTTCGGAGGTGCTGAACGTTAAGAGCTTAATCCAGGGAGGTTTTCCAGCCCTGGGTGGGAGCGGGGACAGCACTGCTGGTGGATCACCGGGGCATGTGCCCCGTGCCCCGATGGATCAGGGAACCTCATGTGAGCCAACGAACTCAACTGAGGGTCCTTCTGAACTAAATAAATGAGCCACGACTGGACACACTAGGCATTATATTCTATTTTATTTTTTCCTCCTTTTCCCTCCATTTTGTTCTTGTATTTTTCCTTCTGTATTACCCAGGACAACCAAGGTCTCTGCATACAAAAGCCTTCAGGGCTTTGCTAGAACGTACCGCTGCACGTCCTAATGACTTTGAGGAATGAGGGTTTGTTTCTCTGCGTTTTCAGCATGCTAATGAAGAGGGCAGTGGAATCCGGGGCTGAGGGCGTTTCCTGAGGATAATGTGTCCGCAGAGCTGCAGGGAGCACAGGGATGGCAGCACAGGCGGGCTGTGAGGGCAGCACGAGGGCCCTGCTCAGGAGCCACATTTTATGGGTGTAGGACTGAAGTTGTGTTCCCTCATGGTGCTCGAAGTTCTCGCTGAAGGGGGAATGAGTGGAACCCAGCTGACATTGAAGTGCAACGTGCCTGTAACCGAGGCTGGTGCAGCCTGAGCAAACCCCCCAAACCCCAGGGCTCAGCATGGCTCCCACCTTGGCACCCTCACGGCTCCCGCCTCTCTCCTGGGGGCAGGGAGTGTGGGCCCGTGGTGAGCTCTGATAGGCTGGCACGGTGATTGGCAGCATGAACAGCCAATGGGAGCTGGCGGTGCGGGGGCGGCACCATTTTGGTTGCTGTGAGGGCCGTGGGAGTCAAGGTGAGGCACCATTTTGTTTGCTGTGGGAGTTGAGGGGAGGTGCCATTTTGTTTTCTGTGAGGGCTGTGGGAGTCGATGTGTGGCGCCATTTTGGTCACTTTGAGGGCTGTGGGAGTTGACATGAGGCACCATTTTGTTTGCAGTGAGGGCCGTGGGAGTTGATGTGAGGCACCATTTTGTTTGCTGTGAGAGCCATGGGAGTCGAGGTGAGGCACCATGTTTGCTGTGAGGGCCATGGGAGTCGATGTGGGGCGCCATTTTGTTTGCTGTGAGGGCCATGGGAGTCGATGTGGGGTGCCATTTTGTTTGCTCTGGGAGTCAATGTGGGGGGTGCCATTTTTGCTGTGAGGGCTGTGGAAGTCGATGTGGGGTGCCATTTTGTTTGCTATGTGAGTCAATGTGGGACGCCATTTTGTTTGCTGTGAGGGCCGCGGGAGTCAATGTGGGGCGCCATTTT